GGAATCTCGTTTGGCTTTTCGAACGATTTTCTTATATTCACGATTTATTACGAAACTCATCCCTTGCATCCTGCCATTTATGGTATATGGGGGTATATGTTAATTTCAAGCAGGCAGTGACTATCTGAGACAGATATACGGAAACTAGTCCCGCTTCCATCTGCAAAAGTGCGGGGAAAATGCTATCTGGCGCTGCAGCTTTGTAGGGAGCAAAGCTCTTGATTGCAAAAAAATTTCGTTAAAAATTTTATTTTTATAGAAAATGTTCGTTAAATTAAGTGGGGTGTTTAATGAACAAGTTTCCTTTTTGTGCAAGTTTTTTTTCTAACAGTTGCCCCAAGTACCATTCAATTGATAGGAAGAAGATAAAGTCGCTACAACCACACCAAAGTAAATGTTGTTAATTTTTAACTATAGACTTTTTCTTGTAGATTTCTTAAACAAAATTTCCTAAAATTTTAATAGTAATAAACTTTTGCCCTCTGACGTTTAACCAGACAACAGCGTACATAGCATGAATCAGTTAAAAAGAACTAGCCAAGCCAATACAAAGTCAAAAAGAGATGGCCAAACATATAACTAGACTTACAACAAAAGAAACAAAAATACATAAAATTTCACTTTCGCTTTTAGTTTTTTTGTTTTATATACAAGTTTCTTTTTCTTGTTCTTCTTTTTTTTACGCTGTTGAAAAAGAAATATCTTCAGACGATGACTTAACTTTTAAATTTCTTAAAAGAAATTGTTGCTGTTTTTTTGGAGTAAAAAATCATGGTATTATGTTATTTTCACACACAACCAAATTTTTGTGATATGAGAGCATATGAGAGATTTTTTTTATTTTTTGTTTATTTACATTTTACATCAGAGAGGTTTTGCATGTGCAAGAAAGAGTGGTTTGTTTGTATGCTTTCTTTACCTTCCTTTTGATCAGTGTACAACATCAAAGTTATACTCACAACAATAACGGGTCTTGGGTATATTTCCATTGTTGTTGTTGCTGCTATTTTGTTTACATTTGTGTATGATTTTTTTTTTTTTTTTGTAAAACACGGAAATAATGTGCAAAAATTTCATGACTTTTGGACTTTTTTGTGACTTTTCTATGACTTTGCATGTGTAATTTGGTTTTTTGTGTTGTTTTTAATTTTTTTGTAAGTTGTTATAAGTGTTAGAGAGAGGAGGGCAAACAATGATGGAGGAGTGTCTGCATGCATGTCATATTTATGACAATTGTAAAAAATAGTAAATAATTAAATAAAAAGTGATGCCTACTGTTCTAAATGAAAAAAACGTTATATGAAATTGTAGTTAAGTTTTAATTTCTCTTACTTAAACTTAAAACAAGTTATTATAATTTATTTTATTTGAAAATATATATAAAAAAATCGCTCAATTGTTAACACTGGTTAAAAAAACTATTATTACAAAGTTTTTTTATTTATGCACTATTAATATGTATGCATGTTTGTATATGTATGTGTGTGCAAATTGTTATTATATTATTATTTATAACTTAGACGTTGCGTGTTGCGATTTTTTTATTTATTTAATAATTTTTTTATTATTATTTTTTTTTTTTTTTTTGCAAAAACTTATTTTTATAGTCTATTGTTTTTATAGCATTTTTTTCTTTCTTTCTTTTTTTTTGCTTTTGTTTTATTTTTCCACAATTATCTATTTGTTTTAATAACATTGTTTTTTTATAATTATTGTTTTATTAAAACTAGGAAAAACTTTTTAACCCAATTTCACTTTGTATTACAATTTTTTATATATTTTTACACATTATAAATTTCGATAATTATGTCTGGTCTAATTTTAATAATTTTTCAATTATTTATTTATAGTGGCGTTTTGATAATTAATATTATTATTATTAATATGTGTTAATAATATGGGGTGATAATTAAGTTTTAAAGATTTCTATGTACAAATGCAAAAGATTGCTGATTGAAACCATTGGAAAATTATCGATAAATTTTTAATTTATAGAAGATTTTTGACAAATTTTCTTTAAGAAGAAACTTTTTGTAAAAATTTCATTTGATAGAATAGTTTTATTAGAAAATTTTCGAAAAAGTTTTCTTTTATAGAAATGTTTAAATAAATTAATTTTTTTAGAATATTTTCGATAAATTTTAATTTTTTGATTAATTTTTTTATAGAAAACTTTTTTAATTTTTTTTTTTTATTAAAAAATGTAATAAAATTTCTTTTTATAGAAAATTTTCGATAAATTTTCTTTTTAATGGGAAATTTTGTATAAATTTTCTTCTTAATGAAAAATTTTGTATAAATTTTCTTTTTAATGGAAAATTTTCCATAAATTTTACTTTTTATAGAAAATTTTCGATAAATTTTCTATTTTATAGAAAATGTTCGATAAATTTTCTTTTTATAGAAAATGTTCGATAAATTTTCTTTTTATAGAAAATGTTCGATAAATTTTCTTTTTATAGAAAATTTTCAATAAATTTTCTTTTTATAGAAAATTTTCTTTTTAATAGGAAATTTTCCATAAATTTTCTTTTTAATAGACAATTTTCGATAAATTTTCTTTTTAATAGAAAATTTTCCATCAATTTTCTTTTTATAGAAAATTTTCGATAAATTTTCTTTTTAATAGAAAATTTTCGATAAATTTTCTTTTTAATAGAAAATTTTCGATAAATTTTCTTTTTTATAGAAAATTTTCGATAAATTTTCTTTTTTATAGAAAATTTTCGATAAATTTTCTTTTTTATAGAAAATGTTCGATAAATTTTCTTTTTTACAGAAAATGTTCGATAAATTTTCTTTTTTACAGAAAATGTTCGATAAATTTTCTTTTTTATAGAAAATGTTCGATAAATTTTCTTTTTATAGAAAATTTTCCATAAATTTTCTTTTTTATAGAAAATTTTCCAAAAATTTTCTTTTTATAGAAAATTTTCAATAAATTTTCTTTTTATAGAAAATTTTCAATAAATTTTCTCTTTCTAGAAAGTTTTCCATAAATTTTCTTTTTATAGAAAATTTTTCATAAATTGTATTTTTATAGAAAATTTTCCATACATTTTCTTTGTATAGAAAATTTTACATAAATTTTCTTTTTATAGAAAATTTTCCATAAATTTTCCTTTTATAGAAGAAGAAAAATTTTCGATAAATTTTCTTTTTATTGAAGAAGAAAATTTTTCGATAAACTTTCTTTTTATAGAAAATTTTCGATACATTTTCTTTTTAATAGAAAATTTTCGATAAATTTTCTTTTTATAGAAAATTTACAAGAAATTTTTTTTAATAGAAAATTTACAGAAAATTTTCTTTTTATAGAAAATTTACGAGAAATTTTCTTTTTATAGAAAATTTTCGAAGACATTTTTCTATAGAGCAATTACTTCTATAATTTATAAAATTTAAAGACAAAGTTCTCTATAGAGAAAAATGTTACTGAAAAAGAAGTATTTGTCCATAGAGAAAACTGTGTCTTTTGAGGACATTTTTCTACAAAGAGAAAAATGGTGAAAAATGTCTGCTGCTTTTCTATAGAAAAAAGTATATTCCATTAAGACACTTTTCCATACAGACAAGTTTCTACTTTTCTATAGACAATATAAGAAAACACATTTCTATAAAGAAAATTTTACAGAGAAAATTAACAATTGAGAAAAGTATATCTCATGAATGAAAATTTATGATAAATACAAAAATTGTTCTATAGAGAAAACTGGGTCTCCTTAAAACCACTGTTACCGAAAAAGATACATTTTCCAATAGAGAAAAACGTATACGATCAGGCACTTTTCTATAGAGACAAGTTACTGCTTTGAATACATTTTTCAATGGAGGAAACTGTCTCTCATAAAGACTATTTTCTATAAAGAAAACTGAAGACAATTTTCTACAAGGAAAGTAATATTTTTTGTGGAGAAATTTTCTACAGAGAAAAGTTGTCTTTTATGAAGTAAATTTTCAATAGGGAAAAGTGTTTGTCAAAAAGACATTTTTCTATTGAGTAATATGTATCTCATTAAGTCAGAGAAATTTGTCTCCCAAGAAGCCACTTTTCCATAGAGAAAAGTCTCTATTATGAAGTCGTTTTTCTACGAAGAAAAGGGTCTCCCATGGATGTACTTTTCTATAAAGAAGAATTATAGCCACTTTCCTTTAGAGAAGATATAAAGATACTTTTTATTGAGAAAATTGTATACCATGAAAACACTTTTCTTTTCCATAAAGAAAATTGTCTTTTCTAACCAGAAACCTTAGAACCTTAATGAAAGTATTAGAGTTCATGGGAGTCATGAAATTCTCTACTTTTCAAAGTTCCTATTTATTTTATCATTTTAGTTACATTTTCAGCTTGTCACATGCTTAGCAAATAAAATGTCTGTTGTTGTTCATTATTTATTTGTTTATTTATTAATTAAATTAGTTTTTACAAAAACAAAAATGTTTAATCAAGTGCAATGCCAAATATGTTATCAAGGCGCCTCGACACTTGGTGAAGAGAATGAAATTAAAAATAACTAACTGCAATTTACAATAAAGACGCCAAAAATTGTTTAAAGAATGATTTTTACAAAAGGCATAAAAATTGATGATAAGAAAACATAAGGGGTAATCACAGATCACGGGCAAAAAAGTGAATGAAATATTACATTTCAAGAACTTTTGTACAACAATTTATTATTCTTAAACATGACTAAAATCAACAAACTTGGAATGGAATTTCCTTAACTTTTAGCACAAACTGTTAATAGCCTTAATAAAATGAAGTCAACGTCTTTAAATTAAATTGAGCAATTGTAGTTGTTTAAATAAAACAATAAAATAATAAATTTAAAATAATATTGAATATTGTTAAAAATCAAACAAAAACTATCAATATTCTCTATAACAAAAGATTCACCATATAAAATACAACTAACAGAGTATAAATAAATTATTGTTTTTTTTGAAAAGTTTTTATAAAATATTTATTAAATTTTTTCCCCCATTTTCTCTACTTCCAGGTAAATCCACATCGAATAGCAAAGAAGTAATTTGTCCCGATGACAAATACAAAGAAGAAGGTGATCTCTGGAATGTTGAGGCTCAAACGGCCTTTTTGGGTCCCAATCTATGGGAGAAAACCCTACCGTATGATGCTGATCTTAAGGTAACACAAGTTAGTATCACATCATCTCGCTCTGTAGTGGCTGCGTCAGAAATAAAAACCAAAAAAACGACATTTTTTTATACACAAAAAGTCATTTTAACTTCTCTA